TTCTAATCATTAAGGCCCTACATTAAACCCTGAAACCTGAAATGCCAGGGTTAGTTAGCCGTCCTGATTGGATTTGGGCCGGTCTTCGTGGTTAGAGTTTTGCATTTTGGGGCTTAGCGTGTTTTGCTCAAAAAGGCGCAGGGACGACTCGAAGTTGAACTCGCATGTCTAGTCGTGCAGAGGAGATTTTTGTTTGACCCGGGAACTTTGCTGGAGCCGTATCTGTCTCCAACAGTGTAGCTTTGTTCTTTCACATTTATATGTCGGTGTTTTTATGGCGTTGGTTTCGCAGACCTCGGCGTTTCGAGGCGCAAGTTGTCAGACCGGAAGGCATTCCGTGGTTGTTCGCCTGGGTTTTGAAAGAAGCCTTCCAGGCTTAGTCCGGGCTTTGCACTTCGAGGAGCGTTTCGTAGCCTGTAAATAGGCCTAAACCTTGCGCCTGAAACTTTCAGCTCATACTTTCAGCGCCCGAATCGGAAGAATTTGAGTGGGTCTTGGGGTCTGCTATAGCTCAGTTTTTATTACTTACCATGCCAGGTCTTCAACACAAGCTCCTGAACCGAGAGCTCTAGACTTCGAGCTTACATGTAGAGGTCGGATCTGCTTTTCATGATACCTCTTTATAGCCTCTGCGTAATCATGGTAGAGGGAACTCGAAAACTCTATTCAAATCAAGGCCCGTGTATCAGCCTGAAATTTAAACCGAAGTTCTGAACCACAGGCCCAGGTCCACCAGTCATTCTGAGCCTATGAAGACTAACGGGCGATGTGACTTCTCCTTCTGCTGCAAACAGATCGGTAGCAGCAGCAGCAACAGTAGCAGTAGCAGTAGCAGCAGTAGTGGTAGTCGTAGTCGTCGTCGTCGTGGTGGCGGTGGTGGTGGTGGTGGTAGTAGTTGTTGTTGTAGCCGGTAGGAGTGAGTGAAAAGGTAGCAGCAGGAGATGGGTGGGAGCAAGCACCACTGCTGCTGTTGCTGCTGTTGTTGATGATGCTGTTGCCGCTGTTGTCGCTGTTGATGTTGCTGTTCATGCAGCTGCTACTGATGCTGTTTGTGTTTACTGTTGCTGCTGTTGTTGCTGCTGCTGTGTTTGCTGTAGCTGTTGCTGGGGCTGATGCTGCCTTGACTGTTGCTGCTGTTGTTCTGCTGTTCTGGTTGTTCGTGTTGGGGTTATTGTTTGTGGATGTCGTGGTTTTATTTTCCAGCTGCAGGAGAAGCAGCTAGACGGCAATAACAGACCCACAATCTAAAACGGAATACAGCTCAACTCCCTGACCGTGCTCAGTCCCGACCTTTCATGCAGCCTTAAAAGAAAGATCTTAGATCAGAGACACGTGCAGGCCCAGACAAATGTTGTCGAAACTCTTGCCGGATCGTAAACCCAAGAATCCACAAAGCCATATCCATCCAGAAATTTCGCAAACCCAGAACATGCCAAATTCTGCTCAGAAGCCGAAAGGCCTTTGGGCCCAGTGACGAAACGCTACTGGGGAGTGTCTGCACCATGCACTATACTTGGCAGTAGAGTTAGAAGCCAGGTGTTTATGACGCTGGCTTGCGGATCCCGCGCCGTCAAGTCTCGTCAACTTAGTAGTAGAGTAAGCCTTCGGCCTCTTTCGGGCACTACAATCGCTACACTCTAAACCCTTAAGCCTAAAGCCTAAAGCCCAAACCCCTAAACCTCAAGCCCCAAGGTTAAGCTTTAGTTCCCAAGATAGACTTCCAAGCCTACCTACAGCCCATGAGCCGAGGAAGGGCCCCGCCAAGGAGACAGAGGCAGGTGAACTATACACTGATAAACCGTCTGTTGTGGTAGTAGTCGTCGTCGTCGTCGTAGTCGTAGTCGCAGTCGTAGTCGTAGTCGTAGTCGTAGTCGTAGAAGTAGTCGTAGTCGTAGTCGTAGTCGTAGTCGTAGTCGAAGTCGTAGTCGTAGTCGTAGTCGTCGTCGTCGTAGTAGTAGTAGTAGTAGTATTGCACTAAACACCGCTCATCTGTCAACGGATACACAGAGAGTTTTGTCTTTCATGTTTTTCAATGGCTGGGCGATTCCGACTTGATGCGTCTGCTCTTCGTGACAAACCCTAAACCCTAAACCGTAGCTCCGCAAACCCCTCAGAGTCACCCCAGGCGCCAGCGTGAGATTGCTCGGGGCATCACCCGGGAGCAGAGCCGCCGCATGCGACGGCGGCGGCGCCTGGAACTGAAGGTGAAGTACGAGGCGAGTTAGTGGGGTCTGGAAGGAAGGTGGGGGAGAGCCTTATCAGAGGTTCCGGTAGTTGCAAGAAGGCTGCGACACATCTGAAACCGAACTCCTAATTAAACCTTGGCTCGACTGAGTGAACCGAGGGCGTGCTTCGTCACAGCCCAACGGTGCCGTAACCACGCTGTCGGCGTCCAAGCGCACAACGCACTTTGCCGAAAGCCACAATCCTTGTACTGTTGGCAAGAATCACCAAAGCTTGCTTCGGTACCGCCTGAGCGCAGATGTGTCCGTATGACTATGACTATGACTATGACTATGCCCCCAACGGCCTGCATGGCGAAGCGCCGAAGCACGTTGCAGCACCTGACAGACTGTCTAGTCTCATCGGACATGAAGAATCAGATGATTGAGCTTCCGCTGAAACTCTCAACAAGATTCGTCAGTTTGCATCGTTCCCCTACTACTTGGGCCTGCTGCTTGCAGTCCGACATCACGCCGCCAGATGTGTGGGTTTGACACAGGGTTCGGTCTTTTTTTTGTGCGAGGGGGGTGATGAGGATGGTCGGATGCGAACCTCGACACGAGACTGAGACTGGATTGGTAGTAAGTGGCAGATACACACATTCGATGGCAAGCGATGATGGAAAGTGAAGTACGAGAAGTGCAATAAATGACAAAAATGCTTAGAACATTCGCCGCGATGTCATGTGAAACCTGCAGCGTGTACGGTTTGCGGCTTGAGTGCTTCAATCGCAATCACGGTGGTACTAGGAGGAGAAGGGGAGGAGGAATAGAGTAGCAGCAGCTCCAGCGGTGCTGGCCGCGCGATCCTTGAAGCATTGGGGCCAACCGCTCCGTTCCAACGCAAGGACCAGCCCTCGAGCTTGGAAGCCTAAACCCTAAACCCTAAACCCGGAAACTCGGAGCCGAAACCTCAAAGTCCTTTCAGGAGGCTTACGGCGGAGAGCGACCAGGGCCAAAGTGGGCACCCCAGGCTGCCGTGGTGCGCTCGCCGCCCCTGAGGCTTCAAAGGGTCTTTGTCTGCAACCTCCATGGCCTTAGAGTTTAGGGTTTAGGGTTTAGGGTTTAGGGTTTAGGGCCTTAGGGTTTAGGGTTCCAGGCTCCTGAAAGGTATAAGGGACACCGGCTTCTCCTAGCAACGCATCGAGGTCAAACAGATGGCTCCGCCGCATGGGCCGAATTGTCTGATGCTTGGAGGATCGAGAGCTCAGACAGGCAAGCAGTGCTGGTCTTGAGCCCTTTTGTGAGGTGGGGGTTTCCGAAAATAGGGGACCCTAATATAGTACCCTAAAAAGTAGGATCCTTATTATAAGGACCCCAAAGTAAGGTTCCGTAATTTCCGGACCCTCCCAGGTCTGATGGTGAGAGTGAGAAGCTGCCTTCCTTCTCCGTGCTAGTTTCACCATGCTTCACCACTAAAAGATTTCATGCTCTGTCAAGCTGCTTCTTGCAGAGCACGCGGCGCCGACATGAGTTCAAGGCTGGTAACGCTGTAGGCTTGCAGGACGACCAATCGAAGCGGTCGGCGCAGTTGATAAACAACAAGGATCGGCATGCGCCAACAGAGGTTGGATGCGTACCCCCACTTAGTCGAGCAGGTTGCAAATGCATTTGCTTTTGCTTGTAGGCTTGACAGATCGACGTTTAGGAAGCTAAAGGTGCGGTGCACCCAATAACCCAAACACACCGGCCTTATTAGGCACGTAGGGTTTGAGGCTCGCGACACATACTTTGCAGATAGACTACCAATGCCACACCTGGCTTCGTTCGGGAATCATATCCCGAAACCTTCGTCCCCCCTTTTCTTAGTGCTGCAACTAGGGCGATAGAATTCGTGCCGCTGCTATTTATAGTCGATAATAAAGGACTCTTCGCTCGGTTGTTGATATTGAGTACGCTCCCAAAATTTGGTTCTCTCGGACTATTCGAAAAGATAGTGTTTCTATTATCTTTCTTGATTTCTATAAATTTCTATATAGTTCGGCTTCTAATATTTCTCTCTCTTTTTCTTTTTAGCTCTCTAATGGGATTTTAGAGCGCTATCGCACCCTCGGGAAGCTTGCGACTCCTCGGGCCTATTATGGGGGGTGTATAATATACTTCTGCATTTATTGGTGATTTCTTTCTCGGCCGGAGGTTTCTGATTCTTTGATCTCTAGAATTATATTTTTTTTTTTAGGATCTTCTTTTTGAATTCTCTTTTTATTTTTACGGTTTTTATAATTTTCTTATAAGTTCTAATTCTATTTTTTCTTATTCGATTCTTTTTTTGCCGGTTCTTAATATTTTCGTTATTTTTTATAATTTATATATTTCCATTCTTTTTTCGATTTGAGCTCGTGCATCGCCCTGGAGCTTCAATTTCATCTTGGTTTCATCTGTATTTCTACTAAGTTCCTCATTTTTTTAACCCCACGGGTCTGATTAACCCTGGGACCGGAGCTTTATAGTAGGAGGTTTCCCCGCTCAGCCGGCACGGTTTTTTTTGAATTTTTTAGAGAGATTTATAAAAAGAAGTTTTAATCGTATCCCGGACGAATCCTTTGAGCTGGATTTACTTTATTCTCTTAAATTTTACGAGTTTCAATATCCGACAATCCATCAAATTGAATCAGATTTATACTAATATTCTGGAGGAGCTCGTCAGAATAATTCGATATTTTCCCCAATCCGCTTGGATTAGAAATAATTACGGAATCTTCTTCTTCTTTTTCTTTATTTTTTTTATTTCTTTTACTTTGCCAAATCGCTTATATTATTCCCAAGAATTCTCATTTTCGTCAGCTTGATTATTCTATTCTTCTTGGTTGTTCCTAATCATTTTCTGGGATTCTTTTTTCTTTTGCCTTTTCTTTTCTTTCTTGAATTTTTTGATTTTTATCTATTATAGATCTTTCTTTTATATCTTCTGACCATTTTGATTCCTTTCCTTCCTTCAGAATTTTCCTTTCCGATCCCTTGGTCCTTTGACGATCCTTATCCTAGATTCATTTTAGAATAATTTCTTTTATTGCCTATTTCCGGTGATTACCATTAATAATAATCTTATATCTTATCTTTCCATAATTAATACAGGCTCATAATAATTTCATTTCTTCATGAGCTTTGTCCTGGCCTTGCCTGGGCTGGGGAGGCTTAGATTGATCGGGCTTAGGACAGGGTCTCCTGGACAGGGCCTGGGCCTTGGGCCCACAATATAAAAATAGATCATAGGTCTTATATCTTGGGCCTTGGGCCTTGGGCCTGAGCCCTGGGCAGGCCTTGGCCTTTGGCCCTAAAATTATGGCCTGGAGCCTGGGCCTCGGCTGCGGCTTGGGGCAGAGTAGGGGAAGACGGGAAAGATCTGCATTTAGAATTCGGGGGAGGGCCTGGGCCTAGGGTTTGACCCATGGACCTGGACTGGAGAGGTTTAGATTGAACGGGCTTAGGACAGGGTCTCCCGGACAGGGCCTGGCCTGGGCCTTGGGCCCTGGATTTTGGATCTGAGTCTCTTAAAAGGAATTTGGAGTTGGTCCCTGGGCCTGGGCCTTGGATCTGGGTATGGGCCTAGGGTTTGGTCTCCCTATTCCTCGATAGGATAGGGCAAGATAGAATTAAATAGAGAACTAAATCAGAATCTGGGCCTAGATCCGAGGCTTAATTTAATTTATATCTATGATTGGGCTTGAGATTGGACCTAAAGAAAAGAAATCGAAATCTTATTATCGTCGAGATCATAGTGCGAATAATCCAAAATTAAAGAATAGAAAATAATTGAAAAGATAAAACTTTTTATTATCTTGCCTATCTATATTTT